AGATCATTGAATTCAGCTCCGATCAAGGAGGCACAGTGGGGAATCAAACTCCCAACCTCTGGTGCCATAGTCAGACACCTAAACCATGGAACTATCCAGTAGTTCCCAACCTTGGGTCCCCAGATGTTCTTGGACCAAAATTCCCAGAAGACTTCACCACTGGCTGTGCTGGCCAGGGGTTCTGGGAGTTGCAGTCCAAGAACGTCTGGGGACCCAAGGTTGGGAATCACCGCTCTAGGTAAAATGCTATCAGCTTGCCTTGTATCTTAACTGCTATTACTCCTATGTCAAAAGAATGGAAGACAAACTAAGAGACACATGCTCACATGTAAGTGACTGCTATGAACCAAGCAATTACTGTACTTGCATGTATGAAAACAGTCAGAAACTGCTGCACATTCAGCTGTGGCGGATGTAGTGCCAAGTTACTAATTTAGGTACACAAACATATACCTCATTCCCAAGTCTAAAAGGCATTTTTAGTGAGTTGATTTGTAGATGATTTAATTTTAATGTTTTGCTCCCTTCACAAATGCCTGAATAGAAAAATTACTGTGTTCTGAAAAGAGGCACAGATGTAATTCAATTCTGTACAAGGAAAAGGTATAAATAAGGCAACTGACTCACACTTCTACAGATTTTTAAAAGGAAAGATTACTGGGAAATACATACGTGCCCTTCATATTTGATGCGGTTACTTGGCATAAAGATAATAGATGTGTGCACAACTCATCATCATTACATTACAGATGTTGAAAAGCAACAGCAATTTGTAAAAGTACAAATATGTTTTAGGAATAAATGCCGCTGCATAAAAATTACACAGGCAAACTAGGAATTTAAGTTGTGTTTTGGGAATGTTAAGACCCAACGTTTCACACCTCTTTATTAGAAGCCATGACACACAAGGTGTTTATCTGAAACACATCCTCCTGTTAAATTTGAGGTGAGGAAAGAATGAAACAATCCTTCGCAGCAAGCTCTTCATTCTGACATAAACCAGCAGTTCTTAAATACTCTCCAGAGGCAATTAACTTTTCAATTAATTGAATTGTGCTGCTTGCATTCAAAGAGGGTTTATGGCACAGAGTTACACTTCTGTGTCTTATTCCTTTAAAGCTACATATACTTGGAGCCAGGAGGCTGGTTTCCACCACCCCTTGCAAAAATACACTTCTCTCCCAGAGTTTTCAAGTTCAAAGATCAAAAAGAGGATCGTTTCTCCATGTCTACTGTTCTTTGGTGGCATTCCAAACATCTTCGGGCCTCATCTTGAAATCAAAGGCATGACATCAACTCAAGCCAAGGGAGTGGGAAGGGTGTGGCATGCAGAAAATCTAAATGGATACAGATTCCATGCAATTGACTAGCATATATAGAGTTACTGTTTTTTTAAAAAAACAGCATCTACCTTGGGATAGGAGATGGATATCAGGCCGAGTCCAGGTTCCCTGGGACAACCTGATTTTCGGGGGATAATAACTCATGCACTGGTGTGTCCACTGCCCAACCATACGTGCAGTAAAATGGGGCACCTAAGCAAACCATAGACCTTTATACTGAGATGTGCTCAGCACGACACTCAAATCTACCAAAATTCTCATGTGTGGCTTGTCTCTCCTCAAACCAGCCAGGAAAGAAAACCACAGTTTTTGTAGGATTATTTCTCTGGCTTGCTAGAGAAGAACCAAGAATGGGAGGGTTAGAACAGTGAAATCCTAGACAGAAGTTCTGTTGTTTGTTTAGCAGCTCCTGCTGCAAATGAGGTGATTGGGTAACTTGCACCCCCATGATCTGTACCCACTGTGTAGAGAACATTAAACAGGCAATAAGCTCTGTGCTGGAATCATGGTCTGTTGTGATGCCTGAATGTGCCCAGTGAGCCAAGTACATGAGCATGTATGAAGGCACATTCCATTTACTGTTTGCAAAAAATATTTTAAACTAGGAAGTATGTGTGTATACTTGATCTACTATATATTTTAAGTGTGTGCTTCAGCATGCATCACACTCTCAAAGCCCATGGGTGCCTCTCACTTTTCTTTTGATATAAATTGGCTTGGTTTCTCCAGCAATATTCATATCAAGAAGCCTACACAGAGAACTGAAAACCGTCGGAGAGCAGAAGGAATTTCAAGAATACGACGAAGGAAGAAAAAGCAACCCCCCCAGAAAGATAAGGAACTGCTGTATCAAGAAACCCTTTGTGAGACATCGGTTAGAAGATTACAACCCTCTTTCACTGGACACAGAAAACCTTTATCAGCCTCTGCTCCTTTCTAGATGCAACTAGTGAAACTGCCCTGCTCCTACGATCATTTCAATCAGTCCAAACTTACTAGGACTGAGAACAAAAAGGCAGCAATTTGAGAACAACTGCATTCTGTTAATGCTAACCCAAGAACTGCTGGATAGCTCAGTGGTTCATGTCTCTGGCTGTGGAGCCAAAGACTGGGAGTTTGATTCCCCCACTGTGCCTTCTTGACAGGGGCTGGACTTGATGATTCATAGGGTCCCTTCCAGCTCTGCAGTTCTCAGATTATTATTGTTGCCGTTATATTTCAGTTAGAACCCAACATATTAAAATGATAGTTCTGGTTCCCAGTGTACAGTGGTGCCTCGCATAACGGGCGCCCCGTTTAACGCTGAAATCACATACCACTTTTGCGATCGCATTGCGATGTTTTAAATGGGGAAAAATCGCTTTGTGATGATCAGTACCCTGTTTCGCTTACCGATCATTGCAAAGCGATGATTTTTTAACAGTTGATCGGCGGTTCCAAAATGGCCGCTGGGTAAAAAAAATGGCCGGCTGCTGTTTTCTGGGATGGATTCCTTGCTTAACGGGCAGCGAAAATGGCTGCCGTATGGAGGGTTTTGACTTAAAGGTGAGTCTGAAGCCCATAGGAACGCATTGAAGGGGTTTCAATGCATTCCTATGGGCTTTTTAATATCGCATAGCGATGAAATCGCTTTGCAGCGATTTTTGCTGCACCGATTATCGTCGCTATGCGAGGCACCACTGTAGTTAGGTAATGTAAGAAGAGGAAAAAGCAAACAAATTGAAGAGACTGGGGCTTAATGGGAAGTGAGTGGGATAAGAACATCAAAACACCACACATTTCTGATCAGAAACGTGAGTTCTTCAACTGAGTCACAAGACATAATTTTAAAAGCCACCAGTACTAGTTTAATATTATTGAATATTCAAGCTGAACTCCAAATTCCCAACCTAAACAAAAATTTCAAAATTTTGAACAAAGTTGCTACATCCAGGCTGGAAAAGTTACTTTTTGACTACAGTGCCAATATCTCCCAGTACTTTTTGGACTACAAGCCCCAGCATCCCTCAGTAACAATGGCTCTTAGTCATACCAACTGCAAGAATCTGAAAGTCATCATTTAAGAGTACTTTCCCCAAACACTTTCGTTACATCAGAAACCTACACATCCATGCTTCAAAGAAATAAACAAAAATAATGTGGCCACATGGGGAAGAAGTACCAGAAATGTATTATGAACACTTCCTTCTATATTAATTATAGTCATGAGAAAATGGCTGCTTTTGGATTAACTACTTCTTGCAGAGTTTCTTCACACTTTACCTATCTGTCATCAAAGATCTAAACTAAAAATGTGGATTTTAATCACAGTACTGTCTTGCATGTGCGCATGTACACCCCTACCCACAGAGCAGCATTGATGTACGTATATAATTTAGCTCACAATGTCAGAAAGCTTGGGTTATCATCAACATTACCTTGCCATTTGTTATTTTAATTATTTTTATTTTTTTTATAATTACCACTAAGGCTGCTCTTCTATTCCATCACCACTCCTGTCAACCCTGACCTCAGGCCTCTTCATGCCATTTCTGCTCCCAATTATGTCTCGATTACATTTTAGATTTTTACCGATGGCACTTCATAATCAGGACCGCAGGTCCACAGAAAACCATGCCTTAATAAATCAGCTAATCCTTTTAAAAAGTGCCCTATGACTCTTTGTTGTTTGCCACATCAAACTAACGTAACTATCTTATTGAAAACCAACCACAGTCTTTTATCCAAACCAGGAAACTACATAAAGTTACCAGTTTTAAAAACAAGCCAGATTATTACAGATACAAGTGAATGAGTTTCAAACTGTGGGTCAATCACCCCAACTTATTCTGACAGTGATAACCATAATTTCCCATTTTGCTCCAAAAAGAAACTACCATGATTGCTCATGCTGTGAAGAAAGCACTTAAAGGGTTAGGGTTCAGGCAAAAATCCGGTGCACCTCTTGGCTTCATAAGAAATGCTCTCATCTAAACCAGGTTGATACCTGGATAAGTTTCCTGTATTTCAAGCCAACCAGCTATGTGGTAAGAAGAAACCGTAGATGGTTAAATCATCAGCAGTACCCTCACACAAAAATTACATTGTTAAGGTAATCTATACACATGCAAACTGGGCATGAATTTAACTTCCTAAGAAAAACTTTGTTTTCCTTCTCTTTGATGCAGGACCTCTGCTCCCTGCCCACCCCCAAAAGATTTTTCAAGTCTTTAACACTGCTCTAAATTTCTAATCCATAGAACCACACATAATAAAAGCTAAGTGCCAAGGGAACGGAATACTGACAAGCAGATTTTTAATTGCCCTAGATGTGGACCTTCAGAAACTGTTCAAATTATCTACTCTTCTGCCTATTTTGCCATCTTGAGTCCTTTTGGGGAGAAAGGCAGGGTACAAAATATTTTTTAAAAATATTATTTTTACAAATCTATCTATCTATCTATCTATCTATCTATCTATCTATCTATCTATCTATCTGTCTGTCTGTCTGTCTGTCTGTCTGTCTGTCTGTCTGTCTGTGTCTGTCTGTCTGTCTGTCTGTCTGTTTCCAATCAAAGTTCTACCTGAGTGTAACACTGTGTGTGTGTGTGTGTGCACACACATACATGTTTGTGTAGCTTCTTTATATACAGAGATTATGCAGCAGATTGATAGTCATGCTGCATAATTTGATAGGATTTTCCATGAAGTATATATAAAAAAGATAAACACATTAAAAAACAAAGTTTATCTGAGAAAAGCATCCCATATAATTCTTGAGAGTCTGAAGGGAAAAATGTATCTGATTTTAATTCATTAAGGCACAGATGTGGCAAGCTGAAGTTCATTCATTACAAGCTACCTGCCAAAATCACCCCAGGTTCTACCCACAGCCCAGCTGATTGGCCACCAGCAATCAGAAAGGGGAAAATGGCTGTTCTGGCACTGTCATTTGTAGTGCTGTCAACAGTAACATGACACAGCATCTGGAAGGAGCCTACTTTCTCTACTCTGCAATCTTGACATTGCTACCAACTAAGGCAGCTTCTCCCACCAGAAACAGTCAGGACTAGAGATAGGGGTATTCATATTCTTATGAATGCAAATATCCCCACACAGCTGGACTTAACGAGGATCCTGTCCCTGAGGCTGGACCCTCCACTCATAAATCCACCGGAGGCAGGGGGAGGGAAGGCGAGTCTCCCTGAACAGCTGCCAAGAGGCCAGCTGAGCGAGAAGAGAGAGGTGCTCTGGGCAAGATTGGAAGGAGGAGTGGGGTCACCACTGGACACATGAGTGGATAGTCCATCCCCAGAGGCCAGACCCTCGTTAAGACCAGCTGCGTGGACCCCCATCTCTACTCAGGACCATGTCATCCCTTGATCCCATCGTGCCTGTGTGTCAGATGTAAATGGGTCGGGGAGGGACTGCACATGTCTGCACATACACGTTTAGGTGCACTCGGGTTGTTGCCCACAACCCACCATCACGTACAGCCGGCCAAGCCACAAAAGTTGTCTTCATTGGAACAGTGGACGAGGGAGTGGTTTCCATTGTACATCATGGAATCACAGAAGGGTAGAGCTGGCAGAAATCCTAGGGGTCATGAACCCCAGAAAATTCATGGCCGAAGCATCCCTGACAGGTGGCCACCCAAACCTTGATTAAATACCTCCTACAAAGGGGAGTCCACTACCTTTCTAGGTAGTCCCTTCCATTGTCAAACAGGTCTTACTGGGAGGAAGCTCTCATGTGACTTTGGATGGAACCCATAATGAAATCAAGCACTTCATTTTAAATGGCACCTTGGGTATTCTAGCAGATTTTATTATGATACACCTGCACCAACCACCATTATTCCCAAACTAAGGAGTAGGGAGAACTTACTACTACAATGTTCATGGCAAAATGTGACACCAACGGTGCAGTTGCCAGCTCACATCCACAGCCCACAGCTCCCCTGGCAGCACAATCTACCTTCCAATACGAATTGGCCCATACCTCAGAAATGTTTTTGCTAAACACACTGAATTTTTCAGCTTGTGAACCTGCCATCCAGTGAAAATCATGTTCTGCAATCTGAAGAAATGTAACCTTTTAAAAACGTTAATTGGATCACTTAGTACATATCAGGCTCTCCAGGCACATTTTGACGTTCTGATGATAATCATTATTATTATTACCTGCTATTTGTACAGAACCATCTTCACCCAGAAGAATATTACCAGCTTTTAAATCCCTATAAAAATGAACATAACAGGAAACATTTCAGTTCAGCTTAAATGAGGATACAATCATACACAATGGAATTTTTGTTGAGAAACATGCTGCAGGATAATTATGAGCTACTCAAAACACATTGATTATATGGTCTTCTCATTAATAGAAAAATTGCCACTTTAAAATGCAACAATGTTATTTTGTACACAGAATGCTTGTTGTTTTAGACCAATTACTGGCTTGCATGTCTCTGCAATGCTACAAACCAGTGCATCCAGTTTCTTTAAAACTTTCAGTGTGTCCTTCATAATACTCAAGGAGCGGAAAACTCTTCCCCTGGATTTAGCAGTCTCAATGAAAGCAGCCTTATTACACTGCCGGGCTTATGAAAAGAAAGGCACTTTGCCTTGAAAGTTGATACACTGCAAGGTTTACAGGTGTTTGGGAGGAATAAAATGTGCACAAAACAATGTACAAACTTTTAAAAGGAGGGTGGCTAAAATTTATTTATTTGTTATTTTATTTTATTTAAAATTAAATTAAAAATTGAAAGTGTTTACAATTGAAGGAGACAGGCACAAACATGCTTCAATCAAGGAAGAGGTCTGTATGTTAGGTGAGTTGAGTAGTTAACCACAGACATGAAGAAAAAGACATTTAAAATGAAACTTTTCCATCGTTACCCCTATTCCTAACCAGCTACAGCAAACTGAGAGCTAAAGTAGCTTCCAGGATTTTCCTTCATTTAGAAAAAGGACAAGTAAACCGGAAGGAAAGGAGCCAAAGTGAGCACCAGAACCTGAAACCATCAGCCCTCTGTCGATATCCCAGGCCGATACATTTTTTCCTTCCTGTTGCTTCAACAGTGGCCAGACCATCAAGATCTCAGGACCAGCCAGAGTCAAACGGAACAAGAAATTATAGGGTAGGGACTGATCTGACAGAGACTCATACCTGTGGATTTGCCCATTCCTGTGAAGATAATCTAAACCTTCCAAAACTTCTTTAAGAATTGTTGCTATTATTGATTCTTCAAGAACACCACTTTTGTGTTCTCCTCTATTTACAACATACTTTATTATATCCAGCATAGAGCCTAGAATGCAAAAAAACAACAACACCAAAACCAAAACAAAACAAAGGTTACAGAAGAAGAAGAACGGCAAATCTCTTTTAGAATCAGTACGCAGTTCAGGTTCAATCATAAATACTTTGGTTTTTCTAATTCTTCATCTTCACATAAGTACAGAGACCTATAATAAGTGAGACTGTATTGAATCAGTTTACATAATGTGCTATGCTAGCTTTAAAAAGTACGTTTGAAGGGGAAAGTAAAAAAGGAAAGCTAGAAAGAAAGCCAGTGGTTTACTTAAAAGTCATAAACTAAGAGTATAAATATGGTGCCACAACATCTTAATTACAGTACAGGGACTTACCTCCGCTTAGCAGTTTCATAACCAACCAAAGCTCATCCTTGACCACAAAAGATGTATAATAAGTAACTATGTTGGGATGGCTGCATTGACTCATGGCTTGAATTTCTTTCTATAAATAAAGCAAAATTTGACATAGTATTTTGGCAAGAAAAAAATGTTCAATAACATCTGTGATAACTGTTCAATGGAATGGAATTGAAACATCTGTAGACAGCGGTTCTCAACCTTGGGTAACCCAGGTGTCCGTGAACCTCAACTTCCAAAAAATCCCAGCCAGCACAGCTAGTGGTGAAGGCCTCTGGGAGTTGCCGTCCAAGAAAACCTGGTTTACCCAAGGTTGGGAACCACTGCTCTAAGTGAAGCTGTTGCATTGGTAATAAGAGATAGAAAGCATTTCCATTTTTGTGCTTCATGATTACTAATACATGAACCTTTTTCATGTTAAGCACTCTGTATCAAAAACTACCAAGGTATTCTACATGTTTTATCAATGGAAGCTTTTCCTAAAAGGACAGACAGACAGGCAGGTAGACTGATTGCTTGACTGAATTATTTCTTTTATTTCTGCTATAGATGCATGCCTGAACAAAGATACAGCCCAGAATTTTTAAGGACAACACACTTGTTTTTCCTTGTATCAGTGGCCTGGTTTCACAGCTTTTCTTATGAAGCTCTCCTTTCCATTTATAAAATTCCTTGCTCCATACAAGAGAAAAGAAATAGCCTCTAAGGGTAAAGACAGCTTATAACATTTGGAAACGAGAGGGGCAGATTTCCAAGTAGCCTGACCCTATTCCCTTCAAGAGGCACCTTCTCCTCTCCAAGAGCAAAGCCTGAAAATTAGTCCTGCAAGCTTTCAACAGATCTGCATGCAGCACAGACTGGTGGAGGTCTGTGATGAGACAAAGCCACATGTTCTTCCCATTCCCATCCCTGAACCATTTTAAAAAACCTTTAAAAACGAAAGAGGGTTTCAAGTTACATTTCAGTGTGGTGGGTCCTGCTTTTTTTTTTTTTTAATGATGACCTGGATTAATGAGGAAAGGAACTCTCGCATGAGCTTAGGTACCAGAATACTGAAGTTTATAGGAGGCATGGTACATACACAGTGGCCAAAATTCTTAGCATAGTAAATTGCACTACGGTAGACCTACTGAATCACAAGGATTTGGTGAGTCAATTCCTTCATAAAAAGGTAAAGGTAAAGGTTCCCCTTGAGATTTATTCCAGTTGTCTCCGACTCTAGGGTGTGGTGCTCATCCCCATTTCCAAGCCGTAGAGCCAACGTTCGTCTGTAGACAGTTTCTGTGGTCATGTGGCCAGCAAGACTCGACACAGAATGCTGTTACCTTCCCACCGAGGTGGTACCTATTTATCTACTCACATTTTACATGCTTTCGAATTGCTAGGTGGGCAGCAGCTGGCACAAGCAATGGGAGATCACTCCGGTGCGTGGATTCGAACTGCTGATCTTTCGACCTTGCAGCCTAGAGGTTTTGTGGTTTAACCCACAGCGTCACCACGTTCCCATTCAATTCCTTCATAAGGTCAATCTATTCAAATGGGCCTACTTTAACCGCAACTTACTGTAGCAGAGTAGACTAAGCCCATTTGAATCAATGACATTTATGGGAGGAGTTGACCCACTAAACTGCCACTGACTAAATGAGCCTACTCTAGTTCAACTTACTGGGTTAACCAACAGGATTCTAGCTGATACATACAACAGAAATGAGTTTGTAGCTGGCAGGGAATGATGAACAAGGTCAATAAGAGTGCCTGAAACAGCCCCTGTGTCGTTTTCATGAATCTGCAGCAGAGAGGGCAGCAAAAGTGCTACTGAGTAAGAATACTTCAACAAGTCGTCCCTGGGGGCTTTATTTTCCTTGAGTGGGAAGAAGAGTAAGGAAACGAAACAGGTTTCCCAATATTTCAATTCCAATTGACCAAAAAAAGAAGTAAATCTATAAATTTGCACAAACATATCAAAACACATCCATAACATTCACTGAAGGAAAGTAAGAAAAGCCCTAGTGGATCAATTTAATGTCTTCTCTAGTCCAGCATTTTATTTCCACAGTGGTCAGCCAGATGCCTTAAAGGTTTCCCACCGGGAAAACATGACTGGGATTTTTACCCTTCTCCTTGTTTTCTCCACCAAGATTTACTATATGTAACTTATACTGGATGTACTACTGCAGTTAGTAGCCGTTGATAGATTTACAGTGGTGCCTCGCTAGATGATGATAATCCATTCCACTGAAATCGCTGTTTAGCGAAATCATTGTCTAGCGAAAAGCATTTCCCCACTGGAATGCATTGAAACCTGTTTAATGCATACCAATGGGGAAGAATGTCGTTGTCTAGCAAAGATCGGCCATAGGAAAGCCACTTTGTGAACTGCCAATCAGCTGTCTAAATCGCCGTCTTGCAGAGCTTAGGTCCCGAAAACATCTGTTTTGCAAGCACGAAGCTGTCAAAATTGTCATCTAGCGAAAATCGGTTTGTGAAGCACGGACCATTGTCCAGCGAAATTCCCCCATAGGAATCACTGTTTTGCGAATCGCTACAGCGATCGCAAAAAGTCAATGGCTAGCGAAAAAACTGTCATGCGGGGTAACTGTCTAGCGAGGCACCACTGTACTCTGTGTGGATATGCAGATACATGGAGCACAACTAATAGAAAACATTTCCAAACAAAAAACAAAATACTCTCATGTAGTTATGCCAGTGCAATGCGGATAGCACAAGTTTAGGAGGAGATCTACCTCAAATTAAGAAACCACTGTAGATAATAGCTCATTCAAGCAACAGGTGACACTTGTAGTGATTTCTTCAGGCAATTTGTCTCCAAAAGTTACCCTATTTGCATTATGCTGGCCTAACTATGCAAGAGGATTTTGACCAAAGCCTTTAAGAAGAATCACATTTAATCACAGAACTATAACTAGAAGGAGCCTTCGTATCTCACTAAAAACAGAGTCAGAGAATAAATTAATGTTAATAATATAGCACTCCTAACAGCAATAGGTAAATATAGCTATGTGGCTTTTTTTCCTTGACTGGGAAAATCTTTTTAGTCTGCAGTTTGGTTTTAACCCATTAAAACAACAACAACAAATATTTTATGTGTATTTTCAGAACTGCTTCCAGCTCTAATTCGCACACTGAAAACTGAGGGATACTAAAGAGCTTCTGTTCCACAAATCAGCCAGGATGGAGCCAACATTTCCTTTCCTTAATGGTGAACATACATTCTCCTTTTTTTTTTTTTTTTTTTTTGGCCTTAGTCCCCCTGCCCCCCTGCGGCCCCTGTTCATTTTTCTCATGTGGTTTTTTAAAAAAAAAAAAAAACACAAGCTTTCCTTGTTCAGATCTTCCATTCCCCTACTGCAGGTATAGGCAGGCAATAAATCAGTGGTTCCTGAAGTTGGGGCCCCAGATGTTCCTGTAGCATAGTAAGTCACAGTTAGAGTAAGTCCATTTGAATCAATGACATTTACGGAGGAGTTGACTCACTATATCTCAGAAAAGCTAGTGCTTCTAGAATTTTGAGTCTAAGATCATCTGAGCCCTAAGGTTGAGAACCAGTGGAGAAAAGCAACATGGAAAGGATGGGTTCACCCAGACATTTGTTTACCCGAGGAGAGGCCACAGAGAATAAATGTTGTCATGGTGAACTTAATTATACTTTGCATACTTCCCAGTATCAATGTTAAGTTTTAGCAGAATTTAAGATGCTATAATAAAGACGTTAGCACATCTCTGGAAGCAAAACTAAAAGACAAAAAAGAAAGACGAAACTACAAATATAAATTAGAATATAAAGAAAGACAGTAAATAAGACCCTACTTTGTAATGTTTTTAAGAACTATTAACCACAAAGATTTTTCAGCAAGCATCAAGGGCTTGGGAGTCTTTCAACTGGATAAGAAGCAATCAAACAAACAAACAAACAAACAACAACAACAACCTAATAGCCAACATCTGAAAAACACAAAAAATATATCTTTGAGGAATGCTCCTTAGTTTTTATAAATCAGCTTTGTATCAAACACTACAGAAAATATTATGTTCATGCATATAAACAGAGAGAATAAGATGCACGATTTACTTACAAGCAATTCATCCATACTTGTCTGGCATTTTTCTAAATTGATTCTTTTTATTGCTACACGTTCTTGCCTCGGTTTGCATAGCGCTGCTTGAACTACCGCTGTGGCACCACTACCTGCAGAGACAAGGAGGAGAACGGTTTGAATTTGCCTATTAAAAATAGCAGTTTCCAAGCTTTTGTTTTTAAAAAAAAAAAAAAAAAAAGATGAAATGAAACACTGGGATTTTTCAGAACTTTATTGGGACCAGCAACGGATCTCAAACCAAAAGACACGTTGCCTTTCACTCCCCACTTTCCCTTGCAATACAGTTCCTAAGGGCAATGTGACATGTAATCTGGGCCAGTGGGTCACAATCTCTGGCTCTCCGGATGCTTTAGACTTCAACCCCCATAATCCGTGACCACCGGTCGTGCTGGGAGCTGAGGTCTTAAAACATCTGCAAAGCCACAGGATGAGAATCACTGCTAAAACAAAGGTGTTTAGAGAACCTGGCAGTCAAATGCTGGGTCAATATCTAGTGAAACGCCTATGCTCCTAACTACATTCTAAGAATCTCACCTAAGAATCGCACACAGTCTGACCCAGCAAGGCAGATACATTATTAAATAACAATGAATATTCAGGATTATTCATTGCAAACAGACTTATGCCTTAATTATGCTGCAATACTGAGCACAAGCTCTTCATACAATTAAACACTCATCTGTGGATTTATTTATTTATTTATTTATTCAATTTTTCCCCCGCCCCTCTAGACAACGTCTACTCGGGGCGGCTTACAAAAATTAAAACACATTAAAACAATGTAGAAAAATAACTACCATAATGCAATTATTATAATAAATATTATCCAAGATGGCAACATTAAGAACTGGGAAAAAGGGGAAAAAAGAACTTAGGTGACTGGGGGGAAGGCCTGTCTGAATAACCATGTTTTTAGTTGGTTTTTGAACACACCCAGCGAGGGTGCCAGCCGAATTTCAGTGGGAAGTGTGTTCCACAGCCGAGGGGCAACCACCGAGAAGGCCTGGTTTCTTGTTTTCTCCTTCCGGGCCTCCCTCGGCGTCAGTCCCCTCAGCCGTCCCTGCTGGCTATGTCGGGTGACTCAGGTAGATCTGGGTGGGAGGCGGCGATCTGCCAAATATTGGATGAGAGGAAACCTATGAAAAAAGCATCTACTATAGAAAACTGAAGTCATGTAAAAGTTTGAAAAGTTTTATTTAGGGACTACAAGCTCTGGGCCATCCTAGCCCATTTGGTCACCAGGAGTAAACAGTAGGGGTAAGGGTAAGTTCTGGATCTCACTTTTTCTGCACTAGGGTGCACTTCTTGTCCACAAAAACGAACGGTGCAGCCATACAGGCTCAAACAGCACCATATTATAATCACATATTCTGTACGTCTTGGAACCTTTGCAATGTGAATTCTGCTGCAGACACGCGGACTTCTTGAAGCTAGACATCTTGAAAAACCATTAGACTCACGTGCAAATGCGTCAAAACAAAAAAAAGTCTTATTATCAGACAAGAATATTCCTGAACATTTTTACCACAATTTCTACTTGTGTGGCAATTTCAAAAAAGGGGGAAAGAGACAGTAACTTGCTGCAAGAGCAGCATTATATGAGGATTGTTTCCCCACCTGCTACTTAGAAATGTAGATCTGACTATTCTCCCCACCTCTTTGCACCTCATTTTCTCTCTCTCTCTCTCTCTCTCTCTCTCTCTCTCTCTCTCTCTCTCTCTCTCTCTCTCTTTTTGCCACCCACTACTGTACGTACTGAGAAGTAGATTTGTTATAAAGCAAGTCCTGTGGGACGCGGGTGGTGCTGTGGGTTAAACTGCTGAGCCACTGGGCTGCTGATCGAAAGGTTGGCAGTTCAAATCCAGGTGATGGGATGAGCTCCCATTGCTTGTCCCAGCTCCTGCCAACCTAGCAGTTCGAGAGCATGCAAATACGAGTAGATGAATAGTACCACCTCCGTGGTAAGGTAATAGCCTTCCGTGTCTAGTCACACCGGCCACATGACCAGAGAAAGTGTCTATGGACAAATGCCGGCTCTTCGGTTTACAAACGGGGATGAGCACCTAGAGTCGGACACAACTGGACTTAATTGTCAAGGAGAACCTTTACTTTTAACTTACTGAGAAGAAGTAGATTTGTTATAAAACAAGTCCTAGAATAACATAATAAAACAGGTTAAAAAGTTTACACTAAACAAGCTTATTTTGGGAAACTTTAATCTCTTTATTAATTTCCCACTCTCCATAGAGAAAGGGTTAGGTTACCCCAGAAAGGTCGGCCAGGGGTGTGTGTGTGTGTGTGTCATTTTCAAGGGACACAGCTTCAGCCTCTTTTTGACTGCACATTCTCACCTTTCTTCCCTATATTTTTACTGACACATCTTCGTATCTACTTGGCAAATCACAGACAAAAGCTTAATGAATAAAAGTAGAATCTGAAGGAAAAGCATTTTCAATTTTGGACCCAAATTAGGTGACAGTTAGATAAAGGGCCATTTCGCTTACTACATACTGAAGGGCTAAATGAAACACTGATTCTTTGAAACTGTAGACAATACATAAAAACTGTTTAATTACAAAAATACCAAAGCACTGTGTAAAGGCAACCAAATGCTTTTCCGAAAGGAAATTAAAAACATAGAGCATATGGTCAGAGAACACCAGTCTCTGGTTCAGTCTGCTCTAGAAGCAATCATCCTTTATGGCAACGTCTAAAGGAAAGCATCCACTGAGGTGATCTGTTTGTTACAAGCAAATGAGAGTATTTTGCCTGTAATTTACCATTCTCACTGTCATCTGACAATAATCCAAATATTTAAAACAGCACACAATCCTCAATAGTCCCTTGCATAATAGAGAGAAATTGAATTACCAAGGATACTTGGATCTCCCAACCTCTGACACTAGAACATGGGAGAACCAGGTAGTAGTCCCTCGTGGAACTACGAAACTCACTGGCTGATTTCTGGCTAGCCGTTCGCTCTCAGGGCTTGTCTATAGTGGCTTGTTAGGTGCGGGATGATGCGGTCTAAATAGGGTTGCTTGAGAAACTGTCTGCAGCCACAGTGATTCAGCACAACAGCAATGATCTAGCACAGTAAAATAATAATACTAATAATACTAATAACACTAATAACACTAATACTACTAATACTACTAATACTACTACTAATAATAATAATTTCACTTCCTCTACTGTTACAAAGAGGAACAGGGGAACTGCTTGGATTTGCTGATAGCCTGAAGCAGCTCACTTATTAAGCCACTTTATGATACCAGAAAATTACAATGGCACCTCTGACAGCTGCAGGGCTCAAAATCAGTCTATTCTCAGCAACTGCATGGGCTAGTAATGGACCAAACCAGAGACCACTGGTAATGGCACGGCTAAAAAAAATCTTGTAAATAAATAAAGCTGACCAACTTGCACCAAAAAAGCGCAGGTTCAAAAAGGTGCAGGTCCAGTTGTCCTGGAGCAAATTGGTCTGCTCTAATTATTATGTCATGTGGTCGCTGCAAAAAAAGAGCAAACCAATGCAGAGGAACCAAAAGCGGGACAAATGCCCATCTGAGCAAGCCCTCGCCTCTCAGGCTTGACACAGGATGGTTGAAAGAATAGAGTGGGGGGGGGGCAAAGAACTTTGTATGTTGTTTTGTGCTTACTAGATATCTATCTAACCAGTAAACTAACTTGCCGTTGAATCCACACATCAAGATTTACTGTTTCCTTTAAGCTCCGCTTTAATTCTTGTTTTTTAATCCAATTCAGCAAAACAGACATACTTGTGAGATGCCCCAGCTGGCCTTCTCAAACACTAGGCTCCACTCTGCGAAACTGACAATGTCCCGGATGAATACAACGTGGGCATAAAAAGCCTTTTGTTGAAAAGCTTTAGAATGGGAATTGAATTACGTGCCTAATCCAGAACAATAGGGTGCTCTTCCCTCCCATCTGACAACAGAACTGACACAATACCTCATGACTGGAAGTTATTGTCTGTGTTTTAATTGATGTTTGCTTATTTATTTAGAAGTAGGATGTTTTGTACGCAATTTTCACCCTGCCATGCTTTGAAGACAAAGCTTTTAGCTCAGCATATCCACTCAATTACATGATCAATATACACATAAAACCCAACACCACAATGTATCAACAGGGGCTTTGAGACAACCCAATTAGCTGCACTACTTCCTCCATAATATATTTGTTTATTTTAAAGCCATAATATGTGTGTATTTTAAAACCGTTAAAGAAAAGCAAACAACCATGCTCAAAAGAGAATCTGTAATAATTACAATCCAAAATAGACAAGAGTTCACAATCTTGCAGCTTGAAGTTATTAAAAATAACAATTGTGCGCCATCCAGTCCAATCCAACTTTTGACAACACTTCCTAGGGTTTTCTAGACAGTATTCAAAAGTGGTTCCACTTTCTCTTATTCTGGGGGCGCCCTGGGACTGCGCAGCCTGCCTAAGGCCACACAAGTGGGGTCTTCTCACAGAAAAAAACATAGTTGTTGTGACCCTCTTGTATGTGCCACTGGCAATGTGTGAGAGGACTTTCTTTATGGTGGCGCCCAATACACAGGGCGCTGCTTTCTATCTGCATTCTCTTAAACATCCTGTGGAAAATTCCTTTCTAGTTCTATTTCATGGTACATTCCTTTCTAGGTTCCACTACAAACAGAAAACCTTACCTCTTTTAAAAATCATTTAAAATCAATTACTAGTTTTGGATTGTTATGCTCTTGCTTTTTTTAGTGCTGACTGTTACCTCATAATCACATTTTAATAATGGGCTGATGTTCTTTGTATACCCATTTTCATATACCGTGAGCCATTTCCAACTTTTACTCATTTTTGGAGGGGAAAATGCAATATACATTTTTACGTAAACACATCAAACGAAGAAAGAACAAATGGCGAAAAAGAACCACACAGAAGTGGGGAGAAAAACAAGTATGAACCAGATTGTCTTATATTGTCTTATTTTATCCTTTTTTCCAGGTGAACACCTCATGGAGAATCCGAAAATCTTGAGGAGAAAGATCGTCTAAATATTTTGTGAAGTAACTTTTCTGTGCAACATGCTGTTTGGATTTTGAAGCTGTTTTAGGAGTTTACCTCTGAGGCTGAAAAAAAAGATTCATTATATATGTGGCCTGCAGTTGGCAGCCTGACAAGAAACAGCAGAAGTTATACTAAATTAGTAATTATGTGCCTTACAGCAGTGGTTCTCAGTTTTCCAATCATTCTATCAAAGAACTAAAATCCCATTTAGGACACAAATGCTCCTTTTTCCAATAAGGACATTTAAATGCTTATAGATCATCAGTTAGAATATTTATCATTACAATTTACATTAAATCGGGAAGTAGGGGAAGCACGGAGTTAAGAGGAAACACTGATCTCCAACGTTGAGCATGCCAGGAGGTCATAGATCGATACTCATAGCAAGCAGGATGTTCACAGGACAGCACGGAGACTGATGGAAGAGTGTGTTGTCTGTAATTGTTAGGAAAAGCCTGTGTCCCACCTAAATCAGTTTTGTGTCATATCAGTGGTACAGGGACCAAAAATCCATGTCATGGCCCAGCAGTGGTGATTTCTTTTGGTAATTAAATGCTTTCTGCTTTTGTCCTGCAGCTCCCATGGGTTCCTGATAATGAAAGGAATTGCTCAGGACCCTGTGGGTCAAAGGAGGGGAAAAGGAAATGTTTAATTTCCCTAAAGTTATCTCAGCTGATCATATCGCCAACCTTATGCCATGGAACGTATGCAACCACAATTTCAGGAGATGAGTGCTAATTGGGAAAGAAGAGTGCTAATTGGGTAAAAAGGGGCAGAACTGGCAACTGAGTTTGAGAAATGAACACGTGGGAGGAGAAAGAAAGAGCGGAAGGTAAGAGGAAGTAAGAGAGAAGCACAGAATTGTATGTTACATCGCAGTACGAGTAAAATAATATAGGAGCATTCTTCACAGGTTTCTACTCTATCAGAGGCGCACTGGTATTCCCGCATTTTATCTATTACATTGTCCCTTCTTCAGGCCACTGTGCCAGCTCCTCCACAGTTATTAACCACTCTCCTCCATACCAAGGATGTTTAATTTGTACCGTAACAGGCACATGCCTGTTGACCCAAGAATACACTGGCAACTTCATGCATCCCGACAGTAGCTTCTTTTCCATGGAAAGAAGCAGACTGGGAGCACTTACCAAAAAAAAATACATTGAGCAGTGACTGAGCACGACAACTGGAAAGGTTTTCCCCAAAAGATTCTGGCATAAGGAAAGATACAGTCCTTCAAACAGCCTGGACCAAATCAAATAAGGATTTGTATTTCAAAACCAGCACCTTGAACTGTGTCTGAAAATGGACCAGCACCCGGTGAAGTTTTTTTAAACAACAAAGGTCTAGTCTCTTTGTGGCTCTGGTTAGGAGCCTAGCATCTTGGGCCAGCTCAAGTCTTCAAGCACTTTCTAGTGGCAGCTCCATGTAGAGCACATTATAGCAACCCGAAGAGGATGCAACTAAAGCCATGTGTTACCAGAGTCAGGTCATACTTCTCAAGCAACAAGGGCAGCTGCCCCACTAGTTTTACACTCCTGGCCACTGCCAAGACCTGAACTGAATCCAGGGATTCACCTGAGTTGCAAACCTCAGGGAGGATTATACGTAATTCCATCTGGCACAGGCTGAATCTCTCTATTCTGCTTCTCAACTGATCATTCTAGATTAAAACAAAATAAAAAGTAAAAAAAGAGACAAAAACATGGTGGCATTTTAAAGACTAACTTAATATTTTTTTTTAATGTGAGCTTTTGTGGAGAAGTCCACTTCATCAGACATAGGTAACTTAGTCTTTAAGGAACCAAAACATTTGTGTCTTTTCAAAAAAACTTTTTAATAATTTTATTTTCACCTATAATGGTTGCACAGACTAACAAGGCTATCCCTTCTACAACTTCAGCTGATCAGGAGCACCAATCTCGTCAGAACTAAGCTTCAGTTTGTTCACCCTCAAGCAGTCCACTACTGACAGCAGGCAATGATTTCGAACTGAAACCAAAAGTGAATGGAAAGGTGCAATAGGGTTGAGTATTCTCTGCAAATTGCTGACACCAAACCTCTAAACTCTAGGATTATCTCCCCCAGCAGTGTAGTGTATATGTGCAACAGGATGGGGGAATGGAAGAGAAACCCAAGGGACCCCACAGGCCAAATGCCAGCCCATTGAGCAGGAACTGCCCAGCTCTAACTTCCAAATTCAATCCCAGAGCAGCCACAGAAAAGGATGGATTATGGTCCCATCCATTGGTGCTCTCCATCCTACAGCCAAGTTTGAAGAGAGGCAGAAATGGATTCAACTGCCTTGTCCATGAACTGGAGCTGAGAAGCCACCACATGCTCGTCTAGAACCTTGCTGAGAAATGAAACATTTCACAATGGCCAGTAATTATCCAGTAAAGTGTGGTTCAGGGAGGGCATTTTCAACTGTTTTAACTAAGGTTTCCGAGTATTACAGACAAATTCCATTCATACTCTCAAGATTAGACTATCTATTAACAACATAGTTTTTAGACTGCTGTTGTCTTTTTTACTTTTGGGATGGAGGACTACGACTGACACAGACTCTCTAAAAAGAGTCTATGAAATTACTAGTATTTATTGGTGTGGTATTATTTATTACTGCCTTGTGGCTATATCCACTGATGGAAAAGGCTTCAGGAGTTAACCTCGAGGCAAAATCCGCAGCCGGAGTCCCAGAGGCAGTTCATGTTGTTCTGGCAACTACTGCCACGTCACTGGAACCAATTGTATTGGCTCTTGCCTTTCCATGGGACTACTTCAGCGACGTGGAGAGGGGGGATTTGCTGCTTGGGTAACAGCCTATCCTCCATATTATTTTACCCAAGCTTTGTGCTCTGGAGAGGACACTCCAGCTTCGCATATAGCATCGAAACAACACAGAAAGGGATTGCCATTGCAAATGGCTGAGATGACATTATTGAAGTAGCCTGCTTGTGGTCAAAAATTGTCTAATTATCTTAACATTTTAATTTGTTTTTAATTTGATTTCTGCCCTTCCACTAGAAAGTAGTGCTCAAGGCAGCTTACAACTTTCTGCACACATCCCAAACTCTAAATAGTAAACCAGAAGAGGCCAGGCTAAACCTACGGAAAACAAAAACAACACACCTTGCCAAATGGATGAATGCTGAAGAGTGTCTCTCACTCGAAGCAAAGTAGGAAGATCTAAGAGTAATCAAGTAAAATTGGACTAAATGAATACAGGACAGTTTTCCTGTGACTGTAGAGAAATTAAATCAACCCAGCACTTTCGTGCATCTAATTTATACCCTACCACACGTACGAAAAAAAATCTAGCAAATGGCTGAGATGATATTATTGAAGTAGCCTGCTTGTGGTCAAAAATAGTCTAATTATCTTAACATTTTAATTTGTTTTTAATTTGATTTATATTTCATGTATGTCCATAATTTTAAATTGTGCAACGCTCTGAAACAAATAAAACAAGTTTTAAAAGAGAAATTAATCAACATATCAATAATGAAAATTAAGAAGTTGAATATTTTCAATTTTAATGTTGACACCAGTGAGTTAACTTTCAAATGTCTAATGTTTAACTGTAATGAATTAATTTTTAAAGCCCACTTTTAAAGCTCTGGGGGAACCCAAACTACAGGTGCTATGGGATGTATTCCACTTTGCAAGGTACAAAAGCATCACCCTGTCACGCCATCAGAAACAGTAAGTCACAAGACCATTTTATGATTCTATGATTATATAAAACAGTAGAGAACAACAGACTATTATTTATACAGATTTATAAGCCTCTGTCAAGAAGTCTCACTCAACAAGGAAGTTCCAAAGAAAAAACATTTCAATACCATTTCTGCTTATGAGTCAACTAAATTAGCAAGCCCATACTTAGTTTATAAATGGGACATCTTATCAGATTATTTTACAATTGGAAATCTCATGCCTTGGAGCCAAATTTGGCTTCCTGGTGCCCCAATGCAGCCCTCTGGAGTGCACCCTTTTCCCACAGGACACCACTGTTTGATGGGGGTTTTAGTTTTTGTATAGGCTTCTTCCTGCTCAAAAAGCTAAAATGTACAGGATCAGCACCGTGGTCATTTCCTTTTGCCTTTGGCACCAACCATTACTAGGATGTCCCTTCTCTCTGAAATTTAATTTTGCTCTCAGTCTGAAAAAGGTTCTGTATCTTTGCTGCAGAGAGCGGGTCACTCCAGATGACCAGTGTGAACACGACTTGAACAGTGAAACCTTTATTCCACTGAATTCAATCTCAAATATCTGTATCTGTAAGCAACTCACATTACCGGGCACTGAGTGCAAGGCCGAATTGCATGCCAAAAGCCAACCTAAACATTTAAGAAGTTTACATTCAGCAAGTCAGACCTATCTGGGTAATCTGAGTCAAAATTACTTTGCAAATTTTGACCCCTTCTGTCTACTGCAGTCAGCCGAGTGCGCTTTCGCACAAGCAGACTGAAAGAAGGGGGATGATAATGGCTCTATATTGGATTCCAGCAATACCCCACTGCTCCCTTGCAAATCTGATAGGTGGCAGAAGGGTACAGTAAATGTAGCAAGCATGCTCTATCATTCCTGGGAATAACAGCAACATTTTCAGAAAGATGGTGAAGAAATTCTCAATGGGGTAGGCGAGGGATCTGTCAGAAACAAACTCACCATAGTTAAGAAACGCAAAGCAGACACGAATAGAACTGATCTCCCCATAGACTGAACTTTCCATTCAGTTTCTCTTCTGTGCCTCAATATTTCTCTTTTTCTGAAGACACCAGGGGGAGGGGGAGAGAGGACAACAGAGGAGAAAACTAATAAAATGTTGGGGAGTATGTAAGGTTTGAAAACAAAATGGAGACCTCCAAACCTGTCCAGAAGCTTCCATCATGACCCAGAATGCTGGGATTTATAAGTCCTATTCAGTATCAGGGAGGGTTAAGCATGAGAGGAAAGACAGCAAGCTATCCCTGTTCCCTCCATCATTGCTTTGCGCATGCAAAGCCACAGGTTCAAAGAAGGACACTCATGAATCCATGAAGGCTCCCGGAATGCAGTGAGAATGCTGGGAAATCAAGATTTTTGTCTCACATTATAAGTTTTCATGGATTGATAAGTGCTTCTTCATACATTTCACTTCATGTAAGCAAAATGACAAACTCACTGGCTTGCTCTCCCTCTTCCTGCATTTAGCCCACTTGGATACTAAATGACTGGTTAGGACTATAATCAACCCCTCACTCACTAAATTCAGCTTTAAAGATGGAGTTGAATTAGAGAGAGAAGGAAATACAAAAAATTGGCACGAAAGGCTGCCGAATAATTTTAAAATAGAACCTATTATTTCTGGGTGTAGCAATCCATTTTCAGTTTCTCTCTGAATCAAGATGGCTGGAGTTTGTTTGTTTGCTTTTTGATTGTGTGTTTATTTCTATGCTGCCTTTCTCCCCAAAAGGACCCAAGGCCGCTTATATCACTCAAATAGTATTTAACAGTTGAAACAGTCAGTACATAAATGTTAAAAAAGAATTAAACAAGTACTATGATAAAATGGTAACTAAGATCAATATTAAAACACATTTAAAACAACAGTCCATTTAAAAACTCTCTCAGACCACCAATCATTAAGGAAACGCCTGCCTGAAGAGAAATGTCTTTGCCTGCCTATGGAAGGACAGCAAAGACAGGGCCAACCTAGCTTCCTGTGGGAGAGAGTGTCGGTCTGGGAGCAGCGACAGAGAAGGTCTTCTCTTGTGTCCCCACCAAGCGCACCTGTGAGGGTGGTGGGACTGAGAGAAAGGCCTCCCCTGATGATCTTAATGCCCTGGCAGTCTCATAAAGGGAGAGGTAGTCTTTTAGAATTTGCCCTCTTAAAACAAGGTTATCAGGATACAGCAGGGCAGGCACTGGGCGATTTCTCAGACATGGAGCATGGGTGGAGATGT